CTATATATATATATATATATATATATATTGGGGAGGAAAAAAGACCAATACAATGATGATTTATGTTAACAGTCGCTTGCTCATATCAGGCCCCTGCAGGCGTGGCGGCATCCGAACCATCGAGATCGGAATCTCCAACTCGTTTAGGCAGCCCAACAACGATCCCGATGTGGGCGCCTTCGAATCGCTCGGGGTGGACCCCACAGGGCCATTACACCAAATCAAATCAAACCCTCCCACCCGCGTCCGATTCCCGCCCTGGCGTTTTTCCAAATCCAGCACGTTAAACATATCATCCAGGAGGTTGAATTTCAGGTGGTAATCCGCCGGCGTCTCCGCGGTTAGCGAGGGCGACGCGTTGGTTTCGATCAACCACGGATGAAATTCGTCGTCGATCATGATATCATAGCCGTAGAGCTCCGTGCAGTGTTTATCCTGCACAATCACCCGCTGGACCGAGAAGAGGGTGCGTAAGATTAAATTTTGGATGTCGTCAAAGAGCTGATTCGCCCGCGCGGTCCCTTCCGAGGCGCTAATGAGCATTCGCAGGTTGCGAATGCCGAATTTACAGCTCGAGAGCGCGGTATACCGCGGATTGGTTTTCTGCACCGCGACGTTGGTGACGTGAATAAAAGTGTTGTCGATGTCCTCCAGGGAATAGCGATGATAGCAAAACCGCGCGAACCCCGTCCGGTGCAGCCACACCACGAGCGGATTATAGCTTTGCACAAAAACATAAATCCGCAAATCGTACTTCTTTCCACAAACCAAATGCGGATTCGCAATATAGCGTTGGGCGAGATAGGGTTCAACCGGGTCGACCCCGTAGGGGTTGTTGGCGAGGATGGCGTTCCCGCCCCCGCCGTTTCCCCCGAGGTTCGTGAGCATCCCTTGGCGCTGGCGAAACTCCCTTCGCCAGTCCGAGATCTGCGAAAGTTTGGAAAAGAGAAAAATCCCTTTCCCCTGGGCCTTCGCCGGGGGCTTCATAATCCAAATCGCGTTCATTCGGCGGCGGAATTCCTGCTCGAAGAGGCCGTACTCCTGCGGGAGGGAAAACGTCGTTGGGAAGAAGTCCCACGCCGCCGCCTCCTCGGCATCCCCTTCCTTCTCCACCATCTTTTTCATGCGTTTGAAATTTTTCGCCATCATGTCCTTTCGCGTGAGCTCGTAGTGATTGCGATAGTGGTTAATCCGCTGGTGATCTTCAAGGCGGATGTAATCATAATTTTCACGAATCCACCCCGTATCGGCCCAGTGGTAGTTCCAATCAAACTCGCTATCGGTCTCAACCCATCCCCGACTCCGCATCACATCGAGAACAATATTGCGAATGGAGGTTTTAAAGCGAATCGGACTTTCACCCGAGGAGTCCGAATTGAATGGCCGTTGACTCCTCACCATCTCGGGGGAGGGGGGAGAGGAAGTTTACCTAAATTTCTATTTTAAAAAATGAAAACTTTCGCGTTGGGAGGGGAAGTTAGGTGGGGGGAAAATCATAAAATCGGTAGCTCGAAGTGCCTTGTAGGGGGAAAAAAATCCCCCAAAGAATACTTTACACGTCATACGGTCAACTCCTTTAGGATTCCTTGGAATTCACTTCGTTTCGGTATTATTGGGATTTTCACAAGAATAGTATTTATGATAATAACAATAAACACTTTTGAAGTTTCTACAACGAAGGATAAATTAGGAAACCGAATTAAGGAATAGACTTCAAAAAAAGCTGTCATCCCTCATCTCTTTCTCTATAAGCAATGTGGTGTAATTGAAAAGGAGGATGGAAGGGTTGTGAGTTTCAACACTACAATACGAAATTCTACCAATGCGATGCGATAAAATCAAGTAATGGACAATAAAAATGTCTGCTAACCATCCAGATCGAGAGGGGAACCATAGCATCACCCTCAACAAACTAATCCACAATGCTGGCCCCAATCAAGGCGCTCTGCTATAAAGCCGCAAGCTCTAAGGAAAAGCCACTTTTGGTGTTTCCTATTTTTTTTTAAACGTCAGCTGACCTAAAAGCGTGTGGATGACTGAATTAAAATAAGTAATAATAACTTTCTGCGGAAATACAAATGGGGTCTGTGTTAGGACGAAAATGGCTCGGGGCAGTATGCAAGGAATGAAATAACATCGCATGAAGTTGACTAAATCCAAAAATAGAATAAATTATCCTTTTTATTCATATAGATATATACACTCACATAAAAAACACACAAAGAAAGATAATATATCTCGTTTTGTTGGACATCCTTTTAAATATTGGAAAAGCTAACAACTCAATAGGTAAAATAAGAAGTTTACAGTGAATCCAGCTATGCAACAAGGCTACACCACGTTTGTATATTTTAGGTTTTGATCGAAATGATCCAATTCAAATAAATTTCTATGCATGTCATCTTTTTTAGTCCGTTCATTTTCTTTTATGCATTTTGTCCGCACTATCATACCCAACCTCTCACGTTGCCATAAATTTAGACAGGTAAAGGGGTTTGAAGAAGGAAAATAGGTAGCAGATGATTGTTATTGCTAACCTTTTAAATACACAATGATATAGGTGTATGTTGTGAAATACTCCTAATACCAGAAATATTCACAAAACACACGATAAATAATTGATTGTAAAAATGGAGAAACAGTGATGGTGGCCTGACATTTCAGAGGTCAATGGCCTCACGTTCTGACTCACTTTTCCCAACTTAGAGGGTAATATATAAGATTATTAATACAATAACAAACTAATAAACACACACACAAAAAAAGAAACATTACATAAAAGTGTGTAGTTGAATAGGATATACAACTCCCGCCATCGATTGATCCGTTATCGCTTCAGCTCAAACTTATGAAAGACGATGGTGGCGAGGACAACCAAAAACGCCCCGATCGCGAAATCCGAACTCGGGGCGTACCTCCACAAGACCGAAGTCATCACCCCGCTCAGGATAACGGCGAAGCCGGTCGCGAATCCCTTCAAAATGTTATCCGCGTATCGCATCACCACCGCCACCAACATCCCACCCATCGCGTGAATCATCACCAGCCCCCACGTCAGCGCCCGATCGAATCCTTGATGGATGTAAAACGGCTTTGTCGGGCAAGGCGTGCCGTGGATGCGGTCGGTATTCCAAATTAAGAGCGGGGGCGGCGCCGTGGGGGCGTGAAAAACATTCCACTGGATGGTCTGCCCGCAGGTCCGCTGGCGGGACCAGCTCGGGAAGACCTCCAAGACCAAAATCGACCCCACTGCGAGCGGGATCTCGAAGATCAGAAGCTGGAGGTTGCGAACGGCCAAGGTCGCTTTGGTGGTTTTGACCACCTTTTCGAAATACACCCCCGCGTAGCTTGAGGAGATGCCGGAGATCAAACACGCCCCAATCCCCACCACACTGCTGTAGATCGACATCTGATCCTCCACACTATCCTCCCAGACCTTCGGGGCGTAATCGACTTTATTCATCGTCGGGGAAGTTTGCGAAGAGCGGATCCCTCGCAGCTGCGTTATCAAAATCCCGGCAATCAACAACGCCAGGGCCGCCCACTGCATCCAAGCCAGGGATCGCTTTAACATCCAGACGGAGAACATCGCCGCCGAAATGAGCTTAACCTGGGACCAAACCTGAAACGACACCGGATCGAGGTGCCGAAGCCCGACAAAAATGAGAAGATTCTGCCCGGTGAAAAGAATCGAGGGGGGCCAAAGCTTCAGGGTATCCCGCGTGAGGAGAACCCCGGCCAAACATTTGGCGTAGATCGAGATAAACCGCCGAACCCCCGCGAGCCTTCGCGGCCCGCATTGTCGTTCGCGGGATGCATACGCCTGGCCCGCGAAATCGCCTTTGGCGGTTTTCTCAGCCCCCTCGGTGAGGTCTTTTTTCCGATCGTACACGTGAATCGCGAACCCCTCATCCTCCAGGCCCGAAGTTTTATATTTCACGCCATGCGCCTCCATCGCATCGGTCGGGGAGGCCAATTTGTTTATCTCCGTCGGGGATTTTTCATGGATGGGGCCCCACGAGCTGAGGTCGGGTTTATTATTCCGTATGCAAATCAGAACCGGGTGGGTGCCGTTGGGGTCGTCTACTTTGCTGGGGAGGGGGCGGTGTTTGGGAAAAAGGGCTTTCCGAAAGTCATACACGGATAAAATCACTAGACTCATACATAGTTTGACAATTCCCTGATAAAGAACGAGAACCGAGACATAGTAGGTCTGATCATACGGGGTACTCACCATCGAGTAGTGCGTTAGGATGACCTGAAGGGTACTCTGCAATGCTAGTACAATAAGACTAAACGCCGAAATCGAGAAAAAATACCGCGAATAGCTCGGTAGTTTGAAACCCACAGGTTTCATGATGGACATCTTCAGGAATCAAAAGATGCACACTTTTTTTTCACTACTTCTAAATATTGCCGTTCTTGGAGATTTATATCCCTCATGAACTTGCTTTATTGTAATGATAAATTAAAGTATTAACTATGATTTTAAAAATGGACGTTAACTTCCCAAAAGCCAAATGGAGTTCAATATATATAGAGAGAGAGAAAAAAGAAGGAAAATAAAGATAAACATGAAAATATACCCAATGTCGCACAGCTAATGTGCTTGAACAGAATTTACAACAATGTCAAGAATGTTATGGAATCATGCGTAGACTAATACGAAGGAAAGCACGTGAAGCAAGGTTAAAGTATAATAATCCTAAAAAAAAAAAGATCTATTATTTTTGATTGGATTAACAGAATATTGAGACGGAAGCATTCACTTTTCTACGGCTCCAACTAAAGAATTGGTATAATTAGATCCGTGTTCAGCAACTAAAGAACGATAATTCAATCACAATATCCCTCGGAGGTGCGATTAAATTGTCGTCTCGGGTATCTAAATTACCGCCTACACGTAAACTAGAGGCCCTAATTCATACAGTATGGAAGTCAATTGTGTTATAGGTAGTCCAATGGATTCCACCCATCATGGTATTCATTTCCTATTCACAAAAACTACTACTGGCTTTTTATATTGCCCACATAAAATATTAATTCAAACTCTTTGTATATTCGACTTCCTACTTTTTGGGTGGAGGTGGAGCTGGCTTCGGTGGAGGATTTAGTTCAAACGGTATCCACTCCTTCATGTAGCCATTGCGGTTTTGATCCTCAACCTTCCGCAGAGCATTGGTGCGTTTGTCAATAATGTCATTGCACTCAGTGATGTCAATAGAAGGCTCATAGCCCAAACGAAAGGGCACTTTCAAATCGCGAGGATGAAATTCCCGCGTCTTCACGAACCTTTCCCCGTCCACCTTTTCCTGAATGTTCGTTTGCGCCATGGGGGTGTTGTTGGTTTTGACATTTTTCCAGTCCAGGGCAGCCTTGGTCCCCTCAAGAAAGGCCACGCAATTTCTCAAAGAAGGTCGTTGGGTCGTGCAATTCCGCAGGCCGGTCGCGGCGTGGATGGGGACCTCTTTCGTTTCGTGAATTTCGGGCGTGATGAATTGAAATTTCCCGTGCTTTTCGGGGTGGGTGAAGTTCACATAACAGTGGCCCGCACGTGGGGCAGGGGGGGGAGGACGGGAAAGCACCCACGACGGTGATAAATGAGCGGCGGTTTTGGTGTTGGGGAAGAGGTCCCCATGCCCACCACTAAATCGTACTCTAGAAGAACAAAACATGAACTTTGTGGATATAATAATAATAATAAGGGGATCCAGTTATAAATAATGATGGTAACATAAGAATCGCTATAGAGAGAAGCTGCAGTTTTTTAAAAAATTGAAGAGTTTTCCTTTTCTTTTTTGGGTCAAATAACTTTTTTTTTTTACACAAATGCAGATTTTTGAATGTACCCCTTCCCTTTACGAGCTTTAGTTCTCTGATCACGCTCATTTCCGCATGGCGTTATTGCCAATATCTATCGCCTCATTTACTGCGGAGGGGTCATATTCTTCGTCACGACTCCGATGAATCCGTCGTCGCATTCCAAATTGACCTTTAATAAAAGCATTCTCAGGCAATGGTGCGGGCTTATTGGGCTGTTGGGCGTAATAGGCCTCAATTTCAAGCATTTTCAAACGATGCCGTTCCTTCATTTCGTCCTCATGTGAGGAGGCATAGACCCGATAAAGCTTTTTCCGATTCCCCGGTGGTGGTCCACCTTGGATGAAATGCCGATAGGTGGTACACAAAGTGCCTATTTTTGGATACACCACGATCGGTGAAGTTTGTCGCAGAAGGTAAAGCGCAAATTGATGCATAAAACTATAAGTATACAAAAAAAAATAAGGTAATACTAAAATTTAAAGGATAGTTCTGTTTTTAGACAGCACTTTGCCGTCGATGTTGTTGTTGTTGCTATTGAGGTTCTTGATGTATTAAAAAAATGTGCCCAAGTGTTGACACACGTAATAATAATATTATCTGTATATATACAAAAAAAAATCAAATCTTGTCTTTGAAATAATAAAGATAATGGAAAAAAGAATACAAGCAAAAGTTGAAATCAGACTTAAGCCCTTGTATTATTCTAGGCTCAGCGATGTGCAAAGCATCATTCCACATAGATGAATTACCATTAGATTTCGATTTCCCCGTCAGCTGTAAAAATCTCCGAGAAAAGCTGTGATCTATCCTCTTACATTGACAAGTTGAAAGAAAACCAATGAAGGATGAAAACAATTATTAATAATTAAAAAAGATTCGGCTTTGCCTGCAAACAGTGAAAACACAAGCGATTATGAGTTTAGCGGAAGGAACTAAAAGATCCCTCCTAGTTTAAGAGCTGCCTACAAATTATAGAAATAAAACAGAGAAACTCCTCCCCCCCAAAAAAAATCAGGTCGTCTGACGTGAACCCAACCTAGTAAATCCGCTGCGGTGTTCCCATGGTAGACTTGATGTAAGCCGATTTCAGGTTCTGCCAGTTCTTCTTGAGCAGCGAGACCAAGAAGTTCAGCGACATGGTCACGTTCTGGCGGAGCTGATCCTCGTTCATATCCATGTGGCCCACGCTGGTGCCCAAGCAGAGCACCTTCTTGAGCTGAAACTTCACGGTCGACTGCAGCTCCGTGACCTTGTCGGACAAGGACTCGCTCATGGCGC